TCAATTTTTGAAGAGTTTCTCTTAATAATAATTGTTCTGCAGGATTTGTTCTAGGGAAGAAGAGTCTTGGCAAGAGAAAAGCCAATACTTCTGAAGGGAACTCAAACTGTTGGGAGATGAATGCTAAATATAAAAGCATCACATATTGGAATCATGACAGCCTCCCTTCACAGGATGATGCATTCTTACGTTGTTTTCACTGGCTTGCTGTAGCAAAATCTGTAAGTTTGTGTTTGATACCTCATATGGTGGTTGATAAATCTTGTTACATCAGTCAGTGGCCAGGTGTCTTGTGTATGATGGTTTCAGTTTCATATATTATCATTGATCTACCATTACATATTTAATCTGGAATAGTTATGATTAGCTGTGAATAGTTATGTTCCATGAAGTGCTTTGCTTTTTAAGCTATTATCTATAGAATATATGTATGGCCTGTTTTACAAGGGTTTGATGTGTCGATCCTAATTCAGCTAAGAAGTTTAAATCATAATGTGTATCATTCTAACAAGTTTGAATGGGTTGGAATTAGATTTGGCTTCAGTTATCTTTAGACATTAGTACATTACTATGTTACACAATGGAATGGACTAAAACCAGATCCGGCAAAAATATATAATCAATCATGATTTGGTGAGCTGGAGTGAAGTTGCATGCAATTGACCATCTTCTTGAGATTCACAATTTATGTATATAACAGATGATATCCATGTACTCTTGAGTTGTGAAGCTGAAATGCACTTTTCTTATTGATTTTTGGATCATGTTGATAACTATTGCTTAGTTTTATTATTTGAAAAGTGTTCAATGTTCTTCGTGCCTTTGTTTATGACTGCAGATGCACGAACCAGCAACAGCGGAAGACTTGGTTTCTGCATCCGCTGCTTTGGAAAAGATGAAGTGATTAAGAAATGTAGGAAGCATTGTATCCCTTCCTCCACCTCTTCATTGTACTGGGTCGAATCAGCATTTCTGTATTATGAACTCTTGTAAGATTGATATTTGATATATTGTATTGGCAGTAGAATTTAATTTAACTTGTTTTTGAAAGTTTGATGAACCTCATCTTAAAATCAAAATTTTGCTCTTTTAATTGGGAGTTTGAAAATAAAAATAAAAACAAACTGCCCATTTTCTATGTGCTCATACATGCGACGGTTCGATAAGCATCAATAATATTCATCTTAGTTGGATATAGCTAAAATTCCTTGCACATTAAAAAATATAGAAAAAACATATAAAGGGAATGTGATCCCATTCTTGCTGGATATGACATCAAGGGATGAACCCGAACTGCATATTGGGTACCAATTTGACCAAAAGAGTGCCAACCTTTGATGTAATGTGTGCAGGGAAGAAGCAACGCAGAAGTTTGTCAATTAAAAGCTTGAAAACATTTCATAGAAAAGAAACTCATGTAGTTAATCAAAAAGCTATATTTTGTCAAATTCTGTTGAGTTTACAGAAATGGCAGGTAATTATGACTTAAAGTTTGTTCTCTAAATTACTTCCAAATTTTCTCACACTCTTGCTCCTTCTATTGATGAGCATAAAAAGGAATTTTTTTTATTTAATTTTTTTATTTATTTATGTACAAACGCGTTGGCACCAAGAAAATGAGATTCTAAAAAGTATATGTGCTTTGCGTCGCTAAAAGTGTAGGTTGTAAAATTGTATCCCACTAGTATCTTCTGTCACAATTGTGCTTTGCCTGCCGAAAGGGAAAAACCAATAACAATTAAGAAACACCATATATTCTTAATATTATTCTTGTACTTGTAATGGATGTCAATTTCTTTGGTGAAGTAGCGGCCACCATTGAAAATACTGAGAATTTGGGACTGATCGAACAAAGCAAAGCCAAGTGTGCCCAAGTTGATCAAGATAAGCTCTATGATATGTGTCAGTGGGCTTGGATGGCAAAGCCAGCTGGAACGAAATATGTTTGCACCATACTTTAGATTCCAAGCAGTCTTCAACGTGATAGAGATGCGTGCATGGTTTTCCAATATTGTGAGCCATCAGAGAGGGAAAGAACAAAAATTGTGGGCATGTCAAAGGAAAAATGAATTGACCTTTTTAAAAAAAAATTATAAGAACGGTATTCTAAATTATTCTAATGTAAGGATAGGAGGTTTGAATTTGAGTACAAAAGAACAGATATACTGAACTAACCAACTGGCCTAAACTCACATTTGCTTAATCAACATTTTTTTTATGAACATGTCTCACGTTTATACATTTCTCAAGACAGTTTGGTAGTAATCCAAATATATTCCTCTTTTAGAAAGCCAAGGAACCGTCATATCAAGGTCCCAAGCAATCACTTGATTCCCTATGTGCACACTCAATTTTATTATTATTTGTTTTGGTTTGGCATTTTCTTGTTCTGTGAAAGGCATTAGATTCGTTCTCTCGCTCTCTCTCTCTTAGATGTCCTGGATTAAATTACATATAAAAGGCCAACTGCGGCTATATCTTCAAAACAATATAGAGGCGGCTGAAGAAAAAGAAGAATAAGAAGAAGAAGCAGAGAAGAAAACAGACTTTCGTTGACATATGGCTATGACTAAGCCTCATTTCCAAGCAGATGATGCTGCAATAATCCCGAAGGTAATATATATATATATATATATATATATATATATATATATATATATATATATATATATATATATATATATATATATATATATATATATATATATATATATATATATATATATATATATATATATATATATATATATATATATATATATATATATATATATATATATATATATATATATATATATATATATATATATATATATATATATATATGTATAGTTGTATGGACCCATAATAAGTTTAATTGTATTAATGTTTACAGGAAGGTCGCCTTGGCTACACCATCAAACCACGAGGGCTTACCATTGTATGGGGCAATGATGAGCGCTATTGGAAATTACCAAAAAAGTAATGAACGAGTTGTATTATATATGTCTGTATACTTACTAATAAGAATAAGATCGCTTATGTAAGCATGCCACTTTTATGAGAAATGTGATCAACAAATATAGCATGTCTAGGCAGGATGCATTGACATAATTTCTTTTTACATTGTCTATATGTTGTGTATATATGATCATTTGCTATATTACCATACAACTTTTTTTTTTTGGCAGGATAGAGAGTGGTGATTATAAGGACTCGAATGAGCCCGTGGAGCTGCTTCAGGTTTCTTGGCTGGAAGTGACGGCCACAGTTAAGTTAAATCCTGGGAAGGTGTATGAAATTAGCTTTCAAGTAGAACTGGCACCAGATGCATTTGGTTGGAGAGACATACAAGCTTTCTTGATGGCCAAGGTAGGGAAAAAGGGAAAGTACAAATGGACAAGAGTTAAACTAGCGCAGGATTCAAATGCAGGCAAAAACTTCAAAATTCCTGATACAAACGGCCAGCCATTTAGAATTGAAAGTGCTGGCACGCCCGATTCCGACAACACGCTTCATTTTGGTCTGTATGAAGTCTGGAGTGGAAAATGGAAGGGAGGCTTGAAAATTTATGAAGCAAATGTCGAAGATGTAACTGGAAAATGAGCTCAGTTCATTCAGTCTTTTCTATTACATGTATGCATATTTATTGAAATATATATTTTCTACTTTGAGTTTTATGTATGCGATGACTAATATTAATAATGAGAACGGAACTCATGTAGGGTGATTTGAGAAGGATCATTTACTGGCATGAAATAATTAATATCTCTGAGCATGTATTTGTAAATGAATAAAGGCTTTCTTGTGTATTCCGCGCCAATTAATAAAAGATATGTGTATGTGCACGTGCGCGCATGTATGGATATTTTAGCTCCGATTTCTTTAGATGAGTTACCTGCAATGCCACCAACCCAGTAACCATATCCCAGTTTCTAATATTAATTCCATCACAATATATATTGATAAACTCTGCATTGGGATATCAGCATCATCTTTGTATAGACATCTTCCAATTTTGTTTCTGATATACTTTTCCTATGTATAAATATACATGACAACAATTATCTCAAGTCAATCGAAGTTCATGGCTCTCCCGGATTGTATACGAAAACCAATTTATTTAGTTAATTTAAGTAAGACAAATTAAACAGATTAATTTTGAACATCTAAAACTTGGTTCATGAGTTGGCTTTATTATTAAAGCCAAACTCTTTGGAATGTTCCACTGTGGTATCTGAATCATTACAAGAAAAGAGGAATTTAGTGACAACCTATTCAGCTGCAGGAGAGAAAACTCACCTCCAAAAAATTTAGCTACCAGTAGAAATTTGTCTCCCCATGCAATGAATCTTGAATTTAGGCATTTACTACTTTCAACTATACCAAAGTGCTTTGAAAATTGTAGTCAGATAATTCTGCACCCAATTCACTGGCAACTTTGAAGATTTCTCTTTCTCTAATTGATGGCATAAGGTATATTCATATAATATGATATACATATGTAGTTTTAAAAGTTACCATGAAGGTTGCTGCAACACTCTTCAATCTCAATTCCAGGGGATATGTTTTCCAACTTCTATTATGCCCAGGAAAGAAAAAAAAAAAAAAAAAAAAAAAAAAAAAAAAAAAAAAAAAAAAAAAAGCCATCAAATATAATGTAAAAGTTTAAAACAGTGTATATGGGGAGCTTTTGATCGAATGTCCAAAGTAAATCAAGATGATCATGACCACTTACAAATATTACTTTATAAAAGGGAATATATATCGGATGTGATGCCCTTATCTTAGAATAAAAGCTGTTGTCTCTCTGCAGAATGGAATATATATGATCAACAAACAAAAGTTTAGCATATGGAATGGAATAAAGGCTTTTTCTGATATTCCAAAGTGTTTTTCAACCCATTGGATGCTAATTCATGCTTGACATCAGCATGCATGAGAAACTGAAAACTAAAGAGAAAAAAGTTCACATGGCATCTTTCATGGGTTACAAGCTAAAACCCTCATCCTCATCCTCATCCAAACCTTTAGCGATGTACAGATTGATGCGAAATTCATACATTTTATATGCATGTCATGGAACTGACCAACCTGACCCTGTTTTTCTATCTAAATATAAGTGAAAACAAGCATTGGATGGAAGAAGTGTATTGAAGAGATGGGGACTAGCTGGTCACAAGATGAGGCCAATAACTCACAGTCGCAGCCAAGTGAAGAACCAAGTAATAACAAGGCAGTGGAGAAAGCAACGGAAGCAAAGCCTGCTCCTAGTGGCTCTAAACCCATAGCAGTGGAGAAAACAGCTCCTGATCACCAGGCTAAGCTCTCAGCTAACAACAGCAACCATGAAGTCACAGTTGTGAAAGAAGTTAAGGAAATGGAGAAAAAGACAGCAACACAACAAGTGAAACAGCAGCTTCCACACAACTATGAAGCTATTGTGAGACATGCTGACTCAACCATCAACAAATCCTCAGTGGAAAACCTCCTTGAACAGCTCCATGCTGGAATAACCTTAAACCAAAAGAGAAAGGTAAGCCCTGCATCAAACACTATGCTCATATGATTTAAATTTGTGTAGTTGTATGTTAGCTACATATATACATATGCCTATGTACATATTTAATGCTTCTGAAATGTGAAATATTCCAGTTTGTGCCGAAATTCAGCTCTAAATCAATATTTATGGGGCTTTTAATTTGATTTAAAGAAGGGAAACTTGTAAGTGAACTTAAAAACCAACCATCTTGGTTATGTCATTATTTTGTTGACTATTGTTAGCATTATCACTGTTAATGCAGAAGTATTGGGTTGACAAGAAGTCCAACAACTGCTTTATGGTGTATGCAAGGGATCTCTTGATCACTTGGGCTGAAGACAATCGTTACTGGCTCTGGCCCTCCCTGCAAGAAACCAGGTACCAAAAACTTCAATACATAACTTATTGGTTTCTCAGTTTCTCCAGTCCTATTGAAACTGAAACAGATAAACTCAATATATACAAAAAATATATAATAATAATAATAAAATAAATATCATAAAATGCTATCAGTACTCTCAATCCTAACTCAGCTTTCATTGCAGTGGTGTCGTCATTGATGCTGCTGAACTGATTAATGTATGTTGGCTAGAAGTGCATGGAAAATTTGAGACCTCAAAGCTGTCACCAGGAACTCTGTATGAAGTTGTGTTTGTGATCAAGCTGAAAGCTTCAGGTTATGGATGGGATGTTCCAGTGAATGTCAGACTCACTCTTCCAGATGATAGCATACAATGGCAAAAAGTTAATTTGATGGAAATCCCAAGAGAGCAATGGATAGAGATTTCGGTTGGCGAGTTTAGAGCATCACCCGAAAAACCTGGGGACATGGAGTTTTCGATGTATGAATATGATGGTGGGAAATGGAAGAAAGGACTTGTTATCAAGGGTGTTACCATTCGGCCTAAAAACTAAGTTGCAGAATACTCTAACAACTTTGCTTATGAGCAGAGATGATTTTCTGAGTTTTTCATATGAAGACAGAAATGAGAGAATTGCATATGTAAGAAATGATCAGAACAGAATAATGAAACAATGATACAACTCACATTTTTGCTTTCTCATTTCTGCTTCATTCTTAATGCCATCTGGAGCTTCAAAAATTCTTTTTAAACATAGTTGTTGATTAGTTGTGTTATTTCAGAAAACTTCTGATTACTTTGCTTCAGTATTGGTCTACAATAAAGTCTGGGAGCTTTGCAATTTTCCAGGTTTTAAAAACCTTCGATTGGCCTTTCCAAAATTTCCTTCCAAAAAACAAAAAATATTTCTGGTACTAGTGTCTGTTTAAATTAGCAAGGGCCATGCAGCTCAGTAAAGTAATTCCAGACAGAGGTTCAATTCTTGAAGAGAGAGCAAATGATCATTAACCATGTTTAGCTCAGATTTTGAACAATCCAAACTCTTTCCATTTTCCTATAGCAACAACATAGGAAAACATGCTGTGCATGTGTAATTTATATGTAATTTACAGTGAACGTCGCCAATGTAACATTAAGATACCACCTTCTGTGGAAGTCATTGTTCTCAGCACGATTGGCAAAAATACAAAGAACAAAAATAACTGTCAGGTGTATCAAATGTAGTAATTTTCAGGTGCATCAAATGTCCGTTGTGTAATCGTCAGGCTTGTACCACAATGAGAAAACGATTCCTTTGCTCTTCAATTTCTCAGTTGCAGGTGCAATCCTCTCCAAAAGCTGCATTCACAGAAATATAATTATGTACAATCACTTCCTTAAAACCAATAGTACATTTAATCTTCTAAGTCTTTTTACTGCAAACTAAAGCACTATTGCAGAGCTTTGTTGCAGTAACCATCTGCCCTACCCACCCACCCATCCGTTCGCTCCAAATCCACCCCAACCCAACATTGAAAAAGAGAAAAGGGAAAAGGGAAAAGAAAACACGCCACTTCATAAGTAGCATCAGAAAGTTGGGCAAAAGGAATTGGTCTTTGACTCTTCACAAATTACTATATAACTAGTAAACAGGATTAGTGGTCCGCCTAATGAAACAGCTTTTAAAATTTATGATCATGCATTCTACAAATGACTGAAAGGTAGCAAATCAAATTAATTCATAAGAAAAGTTGTTGCATCAACCTTTACACATAAGGTTTCAGTAAACAGATTGTCGATAAAGCAGAAGATAAGACTAACCTTGCCATGCAGCACACCATTGGATACCAAAACAGATCTATCAAATACGCAAAAGTTTCCGCCATCCATGCGAGTAACCTTTCCTCCAGCTTCTTCAACTATCTGCTCAAAATTGCAATAACAATTCTATGAATAATTGAAATCGCACATCTGGAGCACCAAGATTTCTGCTGAGGGAAAGGAAAACTTAGTCTTCATGCATCAGTTTAAATATCTTGGCACATAAGATTGTCCTAAGCTACAGTTCCAAATACTTACCATAATCTTCAAACACTTTCCATGAAAATGTAAACGAATATGTCCAATTACAGAAAGCCTACTAATCTGATACATTCTAGAACTGAAAGTATGCTCTGAGGTTTCGCAACTCTTTCTAAATATAAATGGGAAAAGGAGGCATGTCACTTCATAATTAGAATGCAAAAACAACAATTACTCCTAGCGAAACAATGTCTGGAACCAATTGATTCGTAGAACTATGAAGCCCTCCTGCTAGTGATGCAGGAGAATCCAAGGCTTTTAAGACTAAGTGGGCCTACTTAGCTTTTGGGCCAGCCCACTAGCTACAAGCTCATAAGACATTGTTTGTGCGTGAACGCTTATGATATGATCAATAGGAATGTAGAAGAGAAACATGGGATACGACTTCTAAATAGATATTCATTTCACCTATTACGGATTAAAATAATGCCACAATCGTTAGCAAATGCATTTGTGAGACAAACAAAACATTACCAAGACACCAGCTGCCATATCCCATGGCTTTAGTCGATATTCCCAGTATGCTTCCACAATCCCAAGAGCTACATGGCACATGTCTACTGCAGCAGCACCAAGCCTTCTAACACCCTAACATTACAATATGGGGATAGAAATAAGGAAAGGGGAAAAAAAAAGTTGAACTTAGACATGAAGAGACAGATTGAGAGAAAACTAGGAAAAAGAATTATTCCTGAAGTTCATAACAAAATAGCTTATTCAAAAGAAAAGTTAATACCCTGCTGATGTCAGTAAACTCCTTAAATAACTCTATGTTGGTGGTCCATGCGTCATCATGTTCATAACCAAATCCGGTAACAAGAAGAGATCGCTCAACCTGAAATATGGAAGAGTGGGATCCTCAATAAAATATAAAAGGGTTTCACCTTTACAGAGTATGCCTAACACATGAGATAGGTCATCTTCCTCTCTTAGGCATGCATTACCATGCCTAACTCGCGCCTAAAATACAATCGAAATTTGGTTATGTAGAATCAAGTTTCTGAAGGCATGTTAAATCTTGTGAACATCTGGGAGACATTTTCCCAAGGGCACCTAGTAAGAGTCACCTTTCTGATTAGCGTAACAAACTATACATGATAATATCTACTCTAAATCTTGAGGAGTATTACAGTGCTGTAATATATTTCAGTGATAAATATAAATAGGATCCAGCCTCTCTGAGTGATTTTGGCTAACAAGTTAAGTTTTGTACTTTCTCTCTTTGGAATTATCACAACAAACGATAATCAAGATACCACTGCAAATATTCCAGCATCACATAGGATCAGACACAGCCATCGACCAAAAGAAATATGATTTGGTGTAGCAGCAAATTTCAAATCTTTTAGACTAACCTCATCTGTTTGACTCACGTGAATTTTTTGACCATTACAAAATGCTCCACCACCTAACATAACATGAATTATCAATCAAAGCTTCAGAATATGATTAACTTAGAAAATCAAATAAATAAAGATATAGACCAAATTTTCATACCAGCACTAGCAGAAAATATGCGGGTATTCCAACACATAGGGCCTCCAACAAACTCTACCTGAAAATATGAATGAAAAAACCAGTGTGTTGTTTCCCCATTATGTCAATAATATATGTTGCAATACAAAATAATAATTGGCCCACATCCTAACAGTTCGATTTTTTTAAGAATAATGCTAAATCAACAGAACTTATCTTGGTAATAGAGTAGGAGATACCGAGTTCAAATGGTTGCGATTGCAACCTTGCATTATAAGCTGAACTCCACAAGTTGGGCTCTAATATGAGGCCCGTATGTGAAGGGAGTATTAGAATATAAAATAATCTTTGGTCCACATCCTAATGACTTAAGGTTTTGGAAATGATGGTAAACCAACAGAACTTAACAATACAAGTAATATAGACAAAGTCCACACCCAACTTCTAAAAACTAGCTGATTCTGCACCCTTCAATACATCTTCAAAAAAGAATAGCACTTTAATGCATTTACATATTTTCATTTCTCTTTGATGATCACCAAGATATTTTTATTTGCATTATTCACACATCCTGTTCATTAATAAGCTTGAAAGAGCTAGAGATGCATCATAACCATGCATCATGCACTAACAATCTCAGGACCAGTGATTGTGATGATTTTCATAAGCATCTTAACAAAACAAGCAATCATGCAAATAACATGTCAAATACAATCTACTTTATGTGATTAGTACCACGGAGGCAGCAGCAGGTTTTCCTCGAAATAGAACTCCCACAGAAACTGCAAAGCTAGGATAACCATGTGCAAAATTTGTTGTTCCATCTACGAAGATATCAGAGGTTAGATAGCACAAAACTAAGAATTATCATGTTAGAACTATAAAAGGTATCTGGAAACAAATATCTCTGGAAGATTGCCCACTAACCTAGCTGCAAGTTTCCACCCTAAATAGGTCTCTAAATTTCAAATTTGTGCTAGTCATTGGAAAGTCCATCTCTAAACTTTCATACATAAACGTAGGAATTTCTGCTATCTAAATAAACTTAAGATTTACTGCTAGATATAATTATGGAAAAAGTAAAAAAGTGAAAAGTTATGATGCAAGATTTATTAAGTCTTAAACTTTTCATGTGATCTACTGTAAGTTCCAAAACATCAATAGAACAAAATGATGTCAACATAATGGCCTTTTAAACAACCCTAAACTCAACAAGCATACCTAAACTGAACCTTAGATTCAGCAAACATGGAAAATCATGGCATTCTATCTTATGCAATATTTTTTACTATGACAGGCTAAGGATTAGACTACTCCAATGAGCTACCAGACACGTCTCCCTGTTTTTACAGAATAAAGAACACTTCCACATCTCTTTTTTTCCTTTTATTTTCTTATGTTTTTTGCTAACTAATCCTCCAAAACATTCACAGGTCACCAATATCAGAATAAATAGATATATTATCTATGGAATCCATTTGTCTATGCTTTATGAAATTAACTATCACAAGGAGTAGAAGCTGTATCAACCATTTCTATCAAGATAAACCATTATGCTGATAAATTTGTAAGTTGTATGCCAAAATGAATACTTAAGCAGTTGGATACATATATGTAAATATCAAAACATACAGTTCTCAAGCCCCAGAAGATTTTTTCTCATAGTAAATAGAAACTTGCAGAATCTATATCTTAAAAGATACGAACCTAATGGATCAATGCACCACAGATAATCAGATGAACTATCTCCAGTAATTCCACCCTCCTCTCCAAGAATAAGGTGATCTTTGAAGTTCTTTCTCACAACTTCTAAAATTGTTGCTTCACTCTTTTTATCTGTGCTGCAAATAGGTTCTAAATCATACGAAAATTCTTGCTAGGGTATTGTATATTTAAGAATGAACAGAATCCATGATAAGTGAATCTTTCTTCATCATGAGGAATCTTGCTTGTCTATAAAAGGTTCAACCTCTACATAAAGTGTTAAACCTCTACTCTATTCTAGAAAGTGTTACCACTACAAGTCAGTTGAAGTATTAAAACATACACCACTAGTGAAAGCATGTTGATTTAAATTCTTACTCAGTGACCAAGTCTGTCAGCCCTTTATAGGTAATATTCCGAGGATTATTAACGGCATCCATCACAACCTGAAAAGAGAAGCATATAACATAAGCTATAAGAATAGATGATTTGAAAAAGTTCATCATAACTGAATGATGGACGAAAGGGTGGGACAGAGGGATACAATGCGATGATTCTACATTCTTTCATAGCAACAATACAGTATTATCTTATACCACAGGAAATGCTCTCCTTTTTCTATCTCCTTTATGTCTTTTTTACTATTTGTAGTTGCTAATTTCTATGACATTTGACGAGAACAGTTAACATTTCATCACAACTAACACTCTCAGAGTAAACAAAAGCATTGAAACGAGTATCCCTACCACAATTAAGATACACAAAAGGGATTTAAAACATTTTGTAGCATACCCCAGAAACTAAAAACTTGGATATTTTAGATGCTTAGCCTACATTGGAGAAGAACTAAATGCAAATGCCATCTGGGGGTTATTCTTTAGAGTAAAGAATTTATATAATACATGCACATTTAGACAAACACAGCGCACGCACAGACAGAGCTAGAGAGAAAACCTCAGCACCAGTCTTTGCAGCCTTCTCAACCACTTCAATGAGCTGACTAATTGGTATTGGCCCAGTTGATTTGGCGCCCACTTTCACATACAGCTTCTGATTTGGAATTTCAGATAACACAGCTTTTGTGCAGAGAGTTCTCGTGGCAAATGAAAGTCCAAATCTTTGAAACCCATGTTGTAATTGTTCCCTCGAGTTCAGTGAAAGTGACTGGTTTGGTTGATTGGGCGGTAAAATTGATCTTGGTATTTGAGAAAATCTCACAGGAAGGTTTGGGGAGAATACCAGCGACCTGCCCATTTGAATTGAATCGACTCAATGGAGATTAAGGTGTTCCAAGTTTTTCTCCGTATCTTAAAGCGTGTTTTCGATGGATGTGTGAGGCTCGTTTTAGGAAGAAGATAAAAGAGTAGCTTCACCGGGACTGGGTGGGTGAGAACAGTGCCACAAAACTTGCTTTGGTTTTTTATTTTGTCAATTTTAACGTTATGGTAACAGAATTAAAAGTCAAGCAAAAATTAGTGTTTTCCAAATTAAAGCCTTATGTATGCTTTTATTTTTGTAGATAATCTTTTTCATTTTTTTAATTGAAAATTGAAAACTAGTTTGTTAACTAACATTATTTTTTAGTTCTTCAAAAAATGTTAAACTAATTTCGAAGACTCTCGGAAATCAATTTCAGATTTTAATTTTCAGTTTTTTTTTTCTCTCTCTCTCTCTCGGCTCTTTCAGGAATCCCGAACCTTTACATTTAGTATTCACGCATTATACTAATTTAAAAGAATCTTATCTATTTGATTAATCTAATAGAGATTAAGTATTACACCTCAGTGTAGTTCTATGTTATTAAAAACCTACTTGTTACACCGAATCACTTACTCTTTTCTCCTACGATTTTTCTTTTCCATTCACTCTTATAATTATATTATTTTCATTACTATCCAAACCTGTAAATTGATCTATTCATTCATATATATATTATGGACCATGTATTTTTTGGTCGAACCCCAATTAGACTAATTGCATATCAACCAACAAACCATACAACGATGGAAATATTTTTCAGATTCTCAAGAAGGGGGGAAGATTGCCTCTCTCGTGCGCATCCTTCTCTCCTTGCCTTGCAAGACCATAAAAAGAAATACAAGGAAAAGCTCAACAACAATCTGGTCTTGGAGTTTAAAACTAAACCCATCTTCCAATACATCTAAAAGTTGTTCGGGGTCAATCATGTTCGCCATTAATCTAACCACACAATAGCACATTAGAAAACATGAAATAACAATTTAGAGGTTAAGGGAGTGATTGCAGAATCAAACAATTCAGTGTTAAAGAGAGATTTTGGAACTCGAAATCTAAACTCATACCGAAATCTACAAGATGAACAAATTGAACTCACAATTCAATTAATCCTAGAACTAGTTCTAAACATACCAAACGATGAGAACTTGTTCAAATTGTTAGTCCCGACCAAAAATAACATACTAAGTGATCTATTAGTGCAATTATTCTAAATAAGGAGGTGATAGATGAGAAACTTACAAGTTTACGCTCCTGAAGAATTTGCAGACAATCCACTCCTACAGTTGCAGGTAAATGAGAATAATTAGTAAAATTGGAAAACCATAATTGAATGAAAAAAAATTTGTTGGCACTTACCATGTCATCAACCTGCCTTGTTTTGGTGTCAATCATCTTCTACTCGAACAATCTCCAAGGAGTCTTTTGCAAAGCTATATCCAGTTGTCTTTCAATCAATCAATCCTAGGATATAAAGCAAGCTCAAGAAATAAAAGAAACGATTACATTCTACTAGCTTCACATGTTGGGTAAGGGGTAAGGATAAAGGCCTAGTAATTCAGACTCAATCAATCCACTCACTCTGATACCATGTTAAATTTCAGAAAGACAGGGCTACGGCCCACTACTAACAACACTGATATTGTTCCCAACTTAACTACTTACAAAGCCCAGTAGGTGTGATGTTTTATCACAAAAGACCTTCGTAATATTAATAATAGAACCATTCATTATATATTATATTTCATTTAGTCGAGTTTCCAATGTGGGATTTATATTCTTCAACACTTTCAACTTGGAAGGTTAGTGTAATGCAAATTTATCAACGCTTGAGCTCATTGGGCCAATACTCATTCGCCCTAATATAATGGGCTACAAGGATTTCAGCCCAATATAATGGGCCACAAGATTTCGGCCCAATATAAAGGGCCTCATAGTAGTTCCACCTATTTTTAACTTTAACCTCGCTAATATTTTTACTTGCTGTAAATTTGTCTACTTTTTTTCCTTTTCTTTTTGCTTCTTATTGCTTTGTCTTTAATGTACTTAAATGTTAAGTAGCAATTATCAATGGTCTCTTGTTTTACCAAAAATTAGCAATGGTCTTTGAATCTAGCAAATAATCTTGCAATTCAGATGGATAAGTGTTGATCCGAACTCAACAATTTTCGTTTCTTTGGTTCCAAATGACTTCATGCTAACTTCTCTTATAAGAGTGTAACCCTCCTTTTCAAAATAATTCATCTTAACTAAATTGTTTTATACTAAATAGTTTTTGTTTTTTTGTTTTTTTTTTTTTTTTCTGAAGTTAATTTCTTGCGTGATTTTTAAATAGAATTGTATCCAAAACAAGATGTTTTAATCATATTAACTCGGAATATCCTATCCAAAAAAAAAAAAAAAAAAA